GTGGTACGTAATACGCTAATTACATCACTAACGATGTATTATTCCAAGTTCAAATCATTCAAAATCAATCATATTCACGAATTCGTTATTTAATCCTCTTACACATTTACTCGGTTGAAAACAGCAGAACTAATTTCGCAGTAAGTGCCTTTGCAGCGTCGTGGTATTTACTTTGAGTTTTAGTTTGAGAGCCAGCCGCAATGTAGAGAAGCCAGATACGGAGTCACTAAACCAGCGAGGGGACTCGATAGTCCCTATAAAACGGCTTCCTAAAATTAACGGCACGAACGTAATTTGTCGGACGACTCGCTGTCCGTTCGGATTAAAATCTAAAGTTCGTGAGCGGGGGAAAGCGACCGAAGACAGCCTGGCTTTCGTCGTGGCGCTTTCCATAAATTTTCAAACGACTATTCCGATAACTGCGAGCGCCCTTAAACAATCCTGGAAACAGAAGTCAAATTCGGGATGCGTTTGCACTGTAAATTTTACAATTGTCAACAAAGTTTGACGAACAGAACGTTAAAATTATAGAGAAGATGAATTAGAGAATTTAAATTCAAATTGACGTTTGGGGTATAAATTAATTAAAAGATCTTTTCCAGGGGCCCAAAAATAAACTCTTCTACATAAACGAGACATGTGAATCAAGAATTTATATATAAAATAATGTTTTCTAATGTAAATCGATATTTATCCGGATTCACACAATTATTTGGCCCCCGAATGCCGATTATTTTTTATCTCAGCGTTTCTCATATTGTTCTCAGTATAAGGTCTATCTTTAATGCTGTCAGTTAAGTGGCCATTAAGGGAAACTGGTACAATCAGAGATAGAGGAGAGCTCGTAATAATCATAGCTTGTAATAAGCTGGTCGTCATATAATCGAAGTGCAGTGACTGTTCGCCGGATTGTTCGCCAACTGTCATCACTAAGATAGCGCGGCATTGTATCGAATAGCGGCAATCGGGGTTCAGTTCTAGGATAATGAAGATCGTCCGATACTAATACGAAGAAATAACAGATTCCTCGTGTCGCAGTCGCTATAGTGGAAATAATCGATAATAAATTTTATTTGCTAACGTAGCTAATGTGTCTCATCCAGGTTTAATTTATTTCAGTAGAAGTTATTCTAACGAAACACGCGAAGTTGAAGCAAGTAATGACTTTTTACTACGAAAAATATTCGCCGAAGGAAAACTCGCAGTTTCGTCAAGGAACCTATCCTGGAAAAATATCATATTTTGGAGATGTTATTGCGTATACGAAACGATCGGCTGCGTAGTGCGTACATTATTCTACTTATGGGATACTATAAAAGGATACACCGTAACGCCATTGACGACGAAACAAAGTGGATGAAGCGAACCGAAACATATCTTTGTATTCTATTCTTAACGTTTCCCGGTCGTTTCGTGCGTTAATAGCGACTATTTCACGTGAACGGCATAGAGATAGAATCGAAATCAACACCAGTTTCTGCTTTATTACGGCAGTGTTGTAACGTGCTATCGATTGTTACACTTTAATCGGCGAAGGCTAACAACGACGAGTACTCTACCCGTTTGCTATGCTTGGAGGTCGCAGTTTGTCGGGTTCTCTTTGTTTTTAGCGGTGTTTTATTTCCCCAGTGACGTTTCGGTATTTTTCATTTTATAACGATTCCGCGTTGCTTGCCTGAGATGAAATAGGCAATTTTACGAAGGCATCATGCAATTTGTGACATATAGCCGGGCATCGAGACGCCCGCTTTCTCGGTAACTATTTTCGATGTCTTTGTACATACCGGAGCTACTTTGTTATTTATGGTACGCAACATAAAGGGATGCCGCACGTTCAAAATATATCCGATAGAGTAGGTACAATTTAGCGAAGTATCGATAAAAGCAATAAGCAAATTGTGTCAAACTTAATGATTATAACTACATTTCGTCATGAAAAAACTTTTTATTTTATATATCCCAATATCTGAAAAATAAAATACAAACTTTAAACTTTGGACTATTATGTCCAGATAGTAAAGTTCCGATAAAGAAAGTTTTGATGGTAGATATCTTAATTAAAAGATGAAACCATGGATTATCAGGAAATCATAATGCTTTCATTTTTTTTTGTTTGATTTATCTTTTTCGACAAAGAAAGTTGAGAATTTAAAAAAAAAATGTACGTTTATATACAAACATAATATTTTTTACCTTACAATTTTTTTATTTCTTCAAGTCACGATGCTTTTCAAACTACGTCTAAGCATACTTATACAGGATGAGTCAACGGACATTTTCTACCCCGTTTTTTTTTAATTGACTAGTTTGTGGCAAATATGCTGAAACACGTCAATTATGTTGTTAGGGGAAAATTTTCAATTTTTAATACATTCCAAATGTTACTTCTCGAAAAACAAGATACAGTAATGAGAATTAAAAGACCTGTAAAATGATATGTCACATAATGCTTATTACCATTTAAGAGTTTTGAAGAGGTAGCTAAACCCCCTTAAATATTAAATTTACATGTTTCGGCATATTTCGCTTCAGGAAACAAGATCGCTCTATGTACGAACAAGAACATATTTATGCATCGCTTCCAAGTCAAGTAGATTGAAACGAGACTTGAATGCAACAGAGGATTAAATACAGTTACGTTTAATCTATGCGTGGAATCGATTGAACTCTTTAAAATGATATCTGTAATAAGCCGGCTCTTGTTCCTGCAGCGCACGGCAATTGGATAAGAGCCGGTCTGACTTCGATCGAGCGAGTGTGTACGTGAACGTCGTGAACGACACGCACATAACGAGGGGATCGATGCTCGCTCGTGACGTGCAAGCGATGCAAGTTCTTAACCATCGCGGCATCGCCCGGCAATTGAACGTCGGTCGCGATAGTTTATCAGAGTTTATCTCGCAGCTTCTTTATAACCGCTTTTATCAGCGACGCTCTTAATGATTGTAAAACCGACGATGTATCTTGTCGGTGACCTCGCCTTTTTGCGTTTCATGATCAGTCGCGTCGAGGATCGAGCGTACGCGTTGAAGTATCGGGACGAAACATAGTTTGACTTTTTACACGATAAGCAGGAGACGTGTTCTATCCAACATGCACGCTTTTGAAATTTTAAAATAAGCTCTTTTTCCAGACGCACAGTCGAGAGATAATGCCTATAATTCTAAAATATTTTTTCCCGCGAATGATTTACCTGTATTTATCTGAAAACAAATTGTTTTATGGGAGCATAATTATGTGATAATGGCAAAATGGTTTTTCAGAATCTATTTAATCAATGTACAAAATGGGTAAAAGAAGCAAATAGTAACAAAACTTTTTCCTCTGTTTCTTTATATGAAAAAGAATACAATAAAGTTTAAAATAATTGCAGTAAGACAAAAAACTGCAAAATAGACGAAGCCGTGGGTCAAATTCGACCCAACCTTACCATTAGAGGGTTAATATTTGAATTTCTTGTTTTTAATATTTAGTAAAATTATTCCTAACTAGGTAAATAAAATCGTCACAAATGAATGATGAAACTCTTGCGAAGACTCACTATTTAATTCACTTTAAAACTAAGTGTTAAAAGATATTGGTAAATATGTAAACATTTATTATTACCATATATTTAGAAACAAATAACTATATAAAACTGTATCTTACGGGTTGATTATAGAATGAATATGTTATGGCGGAATAAAGTGGCAGGCTCAAGGCCTGTATGTACGAATAATGCTATTTGATACACGAAAGAACAAATAGCTATAGGAGTTATTGTTCTATATGCATAACAGTTGATATGGAACAGCAAGCAATGCATTCGATGCACTGACCGTGTTTGTGTGGATCGAAACAGGACGGGTCAAATCTATATTATATGTACGTAACTTCATACATATACGGTTTACCAAAAACCAAAAGGTGGCTGTAAAATAATTTTATTATCTCGTTTGTATTTTTATTTTATTATTTCCTTTTTATTTCCTTAATTTCTTTAAATTATATTAATTATTCCACAATTTCACTGAAATTGAAAGAAACGAAATAGATATCCAATCAATAAATATATAATTTTAATTTAAAAATATTTTTATTCTTTTTCAACACTTAATAAACTATAAATTGTTTAACAATCGAATTTTATATGGATTTCAACGAGGTTACAGTTGAAATCTGGACAATGTATACTGTTCTTTTATTAATTTTCTCGTTATTTTTGAACAATTTAATTTGAAAATGTAACTGGAAAGTGTATAACGCTGTGAAACCATCTCTCTCTGTGAAAATTTTGCGGCTGTTTTTTGATCATTGCTATTACGGCGAACGTTCGCGTGCGCAGCCACGCCGCCATTTTGCCATGATAGAATTATCACGATGATCGAGTTAAGTCCATTCGTGTAACTTTGTTAATGCGATAACGGGAACCGCTGCTCTCACGCAGACCGTAACTATGTGGGCAACGAGCAACGTCTCACCCATGATTGACACCACTGATTAAAATCCAATTGAGAACTATTAATGAAGCTATCAAATGACAAATATTGTACAGGCGCGAAAGTGGATAGGAGTAAACAAAACTCGGATATAGCTCTCTCCTTGTGTAGACAAACAGGAAAGCGGGAAGCGAGTTCACGGATAAAGAAACACATAGATAATAACAATTTAAAATAAAATGTTATATTTGATCAAGGACATCATAATCGCTATATTACAATAAAATTTAAAAATTTTATTAAGCTAAATACAAAATTTCTAATAAAATTGAAAATTAACAGTATTATAAAAATTTACATTCGAGATTATTTTAACTAAATTATTTTTTTGAAAAATAAATTTTTTAATGGAAAAGATAATACCAGGATGTTGATATATAGTAATAGCCAGAAACTGAAAAGACTTTTAGACAAATACGAGAGACGAAGTATCGCTTTATAAAGTAGTTGAAGATAATTTTAATAAATGGTGGCATCTTCATGAGCCTTTCATGAGCGAGATCTGTTGGCGTTTCATTTTAGGTGGAAGAATTGACCATGCTCACCATTATAACAACGCTTATCGCGCCCTGGATGAGACCCTGGCACTGGAGGAAGCCGTCGAGGCAGTTATGAAGGAGGTCGATCTCACGGAAACGCTCCTCGTGGTAACGGCAGATCACTCGCACGTATTAACCCTCGGCGGACTGGCGACGCATCGTGGGAACCCCATATTCGGTGAGTTACCACAAGTACTTTGCCCTTAGTGCACCATATCCGCGCTCGAAATACATAAGGTATTTCTACTTCTTGGAATAGATGCACCAATAAGTGAATAACTGGTTAAAATAATGAGAGAGAATGGTTAATTAAAAGCTATATTTATAACTTATCTTCAACTATAAAATAAAATTTAAATTTTTAAACAACATCGAATTTGTTTGAAAAATATATTATTTAAAAATAGAATAAATAATTTGACGAAACAATAATTTGTCTGTTAAATAATGTTCTAATTTGTATTGACTTTTGAAGTGTGCAACTATATTGTTTTCTATGACAAAAAATAAATGTAGATTTAGTAATTATTTATCAACTATCAATGATAATTAATAACTCATTATTGCATCTATCTTATTTTCATTCTACAATTAAATTAGATTGACAATAAATAACTAAAAGATACAATTGAATAAGATACATATGTTCATCAACACGGTTTTGTTGCGTTTTTGCCTGTGATTGAACACGAAATATTTCGAAGTTTTATAATGTCTTTCATAATGCTTATCTCGACATCTCTCGGATGTTTAATCATACACGCGTTACGACGTGAATACGTTATCTGTGCGCGTTAACAAAGTTTGTACGATCTAGACGGCCGGTTCAGGCGACCAGTTTCAAGTGCCGTAACTTTCCTCCGTCGAAAAAGAAAGCGTCCTTCCCATTGTTGTCTGGACTTCCAATATCCGGGAGGGATGCGCCGGTAACCGACTTTTGACCCGAAAAGCAGCCTCGTAGGAAACATTATTGGATCACACGCGTGAATTAATCGAATGAATTGCCAGGGCATATCTATATCATCGGCAGAGCCTAAGCGCAGCTTACATGTTTTCTTCCATTAGCCAATCTAGCTCAAACTAAAGCGCGATGTTTTACGATCTAATTCGACCACAAATTCTCGGCAAATTTGACGAATAATTTTGAAGACGTCGATTGCGCGTTTCTTCACTGAAGTTGAAAAAATAGAGGCAACAAATAAATAAGGATAATATAAGCAAACAAATAAGTTAGCTAGTATGACCAGCTTTTAATGACACGTAAATGAAAGAGAACTATTTGTTTAAACAAAATATGATATTTGAAAAGTTTCATGTGTGATATTAAGATTTTGTAATGTAGAAAATGTCTTCACTTGCAAGCTGCAGAAGAGTTGGGGAACTATATTGGAAGACAGAGATATTTTACAGGAAACACCTGCATGGCTATTAAAGACACATCGAGTATTTTAGATTTTACTGGCCCGCTAGTCAAGCCGAAATATTTTCACTTTGCAAAATGGTACCGCACTATAGGCTATAAGTTCTGACACAAAAATGATGCATAGCTCGCGCAGTTATCTGGTTTTAACATCTAACGGACAGTTCATCGAAATTCTATCAAAACTTACGCTTTGATGGATTATTTACTGTTACCGGTTACAACCAATTTTCTGTGACGTCCCGATAAAAGCGGTACTTTGTACCGGAGGCTCCTAACCGGCAATATTTCCGCTAGTGCAGTATTTTTACTAAACTTTCGACATATTTTCGGAGAAACGTGCTATTTGCCGGCGAACGAAAGCGTCGTGCGAGCCGCGCTTTATGGAGATCGTCCTCCGGGACGGCCCGTCCCCTTTCGCTCCCTTCGATCACTCGTTTCCTCCGCTTTTGCCGACCCACTATCCGTGAAGTAAATGGCGAACGTACTGATCCGCGGCGAACGATGCGGAAACGTTCGATCCGTAAGCAATCAAAAGTGAACTCCGCTCGTCCGTGACGAACTTCTTTGCGAGTTAAATTCGGCGTGGCCGCTGTCTTTTCCCTCTGTCGTGGTGCCAGGTGTTGACCCCGAGATTCGCAACGATTCGGACGTCAACGCCCATGTCGCAATCCAATACCGAGTAAGCGACGCGAGCTCGTTCCCATCAAGTGGAGGAGGGTTCGTCCTTCCGGCAGGACAGTTCCGGATTCAATAAGATCCAATCTACTTGGACAACTTCATGACGGAGTCCGTCCGTCGGTTCGCCCGGTCGCGGTTAAATTGAATCGCCGGACGGCTTTTTCGGCCGATCGTATATACGTAGAGTCGCAAAGGGTTCACCCGTCTCGTCCGTCTGAGAACGGCCAGTTGAAAAAAGGAATAACCCCAAGGGGTGTTTGTTTTCCGAAATTTGCAGATTCTGAATTTTTTCATGCGTTTTGTACTTTGTTCTCGCGACATTGTCGGATATCCTGTTGTCCCTGTTGAGAAATTAATAATCTATTTATAGTCGATTCGCATGACTTCGCAAGCTTTATCACAAAGGATTATTGCTTTACGGAGCGTACTGTTGCGAAATACAAATATATTTGATATACATACTTTTATTTATCGTATTATTTTGTATATCATTTTTTTGTAGAATGCGTTCCTGCGCGAAGTCATGCAAAAACCAACGGAATAAAAAGCATGTGGTTTCTAAAATAATCAGAATTTATATTTTTATTTTAATTTTTAATAATAATTGAATTTTGTATAGGTTAATGCAAAAGATTTGTCATATTTGTCGAATAGAGTTGAAAATAAAAATTTTGCAAAATCAAAATAAAATCGCTTCTCCCCCACGAGTTTCAATATGCTCTTTTTCTCATATTTTTGTCTGAAGAAGAATTTTTTAATTCTTTTTTCAAACAACTTGGAGTTTCTAGCTTTATTTAATACAAAGGTTGATAAAAAACAACAAATTATTTTGCAGTAACATATATATATATTTACATAATAAAAATATCTGACATTTGAATTGAAGAGAAGAGCACATGACCGATAACGCAAATCGTTTATTACATGGAGTGCTATTTAGAATCGGGGAGTTATTTTAACAAAGGGATGCACGTTTATGCGAGCAGTGCAATAATTTTTAAGTCCATTGATATTGCAAGCTTGCGTCCCGTAAATTTTCCAACCGATCCACGATGAATTTACTGGAATTACTCGAGTGGAAGATATCCAATAATGCAATCCCTCATCATGATTATGCTCAACAACATTCCGTATGATTTAATAGAAATTTATATATATGCTTGATAGCGGACATAATCTGAACGAGATAGCTTTGTTAATTAAACAGTTCGCTCGCTGTGCAAACCTGCACTATGATCTGACGAAACTATTTCGCAATCGATTAGAAAAGTTTTTAAAATGGTCTGTAAAGGAATTTCTGTTTTGCTCGATTTTAGTTTAAAGTTTAAATAAATAGTACAGATGACTTAACAGTAAATTAGGATTAATATTAATTAATACTTATCAATTTTTTAAAAGTATTTTTCAAAAATTATTAGTTTATGTGTTTACACGGAAGAACGGTTTTGCTGAAGTATCAAAAATGTAGTTAGATACAGATCTGGAAATAATTTTGTTACGCCATCAAAATAATTATAGTAGGTCACTGAAGTATGATGGTAATGCTGTAAAAAATTTTGACATTTTAGCAATCAGTTTGAGTGTTCTACAAAATTATTTTGATGGCGCAACAAAAATATTTTCAGATCTGTATCTAACTAAATTTTTAGATACTTTAACGAAACCGTTTATTCCATGTGTAAGTATATTATTTTTTTATAATATAAAAAGAAGTAAAAAAGTTGATTGTATTTTTTGTATGAGTGAAGAAGAACGGCATGAATGTGTGACATAACATTCAATAATTTATTTTCGTCACTAAATAGGAAATATACATTCGGATAAACGAAACGATATCGATCTATTATTTTGGGAAGTAATTTATACTCTGCGCCGGTCGTTATATAATCGATACATCTCGCAGAAAGGCTCGCGCCGGTTCCACTTTACCCGATCGCGTTGATTGCCATCAATAAATAGCGGTTGCCGAACCGACGAATCTCGCAATTTGCCCACTGTACCGAAAACGCGGTATTGGACGCTTTTAATTTTTGGCACGTCAAATTTCGTTTGCATTTGTAATTGAAAAAAAATCGGGTAACGCTATATGAGCGTATCGGTGTCACCCAATGCTGGACGGCGCGGCGCGCCAATGCCGGCGTACCGGCACTTGGCTCGAATTAGATTCGATATTGTGCGATTGCGCTTCCAAATTGAAACCGCGAGTAATTTCGTATTCGAGGATCAAATATAACACTCAGAAATTCCGCCGGTGCTCTGCAGTTGCCCACTCAATATCGTCACGGAAAAGCTATAAAACTCCGCATCGCGTGGTGAATCACGTGAAAAAGTTCTCATATTTCTTATTTAGGCGCTATAAATTCAAATTTGTCATTTGATCTAAATAAAGGTTCGGATTTGAAAGACTTAACACCGTCTTGATCTATACGGCAACAGCGGTCTCGCATCACCTCGGCGAAACGTTTGTCGCGTCGAAGTTCCGGAACGAGGTCGCACGAGAGTCTTGCACATAATAAAAGTAATGAACGTAAGCAGAGACGTTAAATCACGCGGTTGACGTGCCGCGTGAAATACGGTCCGTAGGAAAACGTCTGATATATAGGGATCAGGTTTTTGTCTCGCAACGTTCCGCGTCTATATCGTCGCCACGGTTCAACGACGTAAACCGAAATGAATATGCAGTCGTTCTTATATTCGCTTCGGGCATTATAATCGCGGCAACGAGTATTCCAGGTGAGACCCGACCTGGGAGAGAATTTAAAGTGAGAATAACGAGAGGGACGGCCGTAGATTCGGGGCAACGTAGATTTTGCCAGCGTTGTCGCGAATACCAAGTTGCACGGACGCAATGTGCATAAATGTTTCTTTTTCACAGGTAGAAATATTTAAATGCCCATTGTAACATCTGTTTAACAAGTCGCTACATTTTTACCGTTTACCACCACCTAATCATTGAATTATCTCTGTTCAGAGTAAAGTGTACTCGGTATATATATAAGAACACAATCACTCTCTTGCCCCTTTTGTTTTTGAAGCATATATAACGCGAGCTCGAATATTATTTGAAAATTATTTAA